GTGTGTTATACTCAGGTAAATCAACCTGGGAAAAGTGTGTTATACTCAGGTAAATCAACCTGGGAAAAGTATGTAATACTCACCTGGTTTGATCGCTTCTAGTTGAAAATCAAGAAATGTGAAGAGTTTTGTTGTCCTTGTATATAATACCTGAAGGAAAAAGGTAGAATTTTAGTAAACATTACGTAGAATTTTTTATTTTTGACAAGCTGTAGTGAACCGTCAACTTTGAATGCTGTTTATGATAATTCCCTGATAAAGATCTTTGAGTAATTTAACACCGATTTAATACCTCTCAAGAAATATGTAAAGAAAACCAATGGTAATCTATTTTATAAACCTATATAGCAACAATATAAATATGAAACAGGGAATAAAACATGGAAAATCCCAAAGGTGGAATCAGGTGCTTCTGTGGAGAAAGCTTCCCTTGCCGACCTGTCAGACATATGAATCCTATGTTTATATCAGTTAGATGAACAATCCGTAGTCAAATTGAGTTTAAAAACAAAGACCTAACACATTGGTATTAAATGTGACAGTAAAACAAGACCCGTTATAAGAATTCAATTTCAAGTTATATTGACCTTGACATTTATGCATACTTTTACGTTATTTCAGCAAATTTGTGGAAAGAAGAAATAGACTTAAATCATTTCATGCTCTTTTAAAAGTCTTTTTCGTGTTAAGGTTTCAAAAAGGTACCATATTGATGGGTTCTCCTATTGGTAATGTCCTAAAGAGTTCGAGAACATCCTCTTCAGTATAAGATGGGGAATCCAAAATTTGTGCGGAATTAAGACTTACAAGAATGTCTTTTTCCCTACAAAAGATAAAAGAATATATATATATAGGATATATAAAATGACATTTAATTACATATTCATTTCAAATTACAAAACGCTTAATTGAGTTTTTAATTTAAGGTTTTGCCAAAGGTCAAGATGTCAAAAATTATTTCAAGTTTACAATAGCCCCAAAACCATGTTAGGTTTAAAGTTTAAAGTTTTAAAGTTTATAAATATACTAGTACTTATGATTAACAGATAAAATGTATCACATGAAAACAAATTTTGAAAATCGAGAAAAAAAGTACACCTGCTTAATTCCGTACTTTTAGTGAAAACCATAATTGCAGGAATAATATATGTATATCAATGAAGGACAATTTGGACGTGAATGGTCTCTGAAAGGTTGTAATTGAAAGCATGACACGTATAAAGACAAGACCCCTATAAAATCCGCCATTTGCAGTGTAATTTCGGTTTGAAATCTTAAAATTTGGACAAAATAAACAGGGAAAACATCTTTTCTAGAGGCTCCGACTTCGAAGTCCAACTTGCCTTTCACTGATAAACATATTCTATATATTGTTTCTGCATTGATGGCTTTCACTAAAAGTACGGAATTAATTAAGTGTATTATTTAAAAATATAATTATGCATTAAAAAAAAATTTTTTTTTCTCGATACTTAATTTTTTAAAAAGTATTTGTTATCAAGGGATGCTTTATTTCTATTAGTTATTCAATGATATATTTATATTAAACTGTATAAGTTTGAATTTTATTAACCAAACAGTTCTGGGAATATTGTACAAATTTTTGAACGTGTTGACTTTTGGCATAACCTTAAATCTGTAACAAATTTTCCTATTTAAGAAAATTGTTCAAAACATATGATTTGGCCTTCGACATGTCATAATTTTTTTTACTCATGGATGCAATTTAAATTAAACATCGACATTACAATTTATATTAATACATCGAAATAAAATGATATATATTCAAACAAATCAATCATTATTTAACGCAGTGGAATGTTCATAATGTTGCTAGTAATCGAAAACGTACTTCACTTGAAGAAATTTTGCTAGAATGCCATTAGGGTCTAAGGAACAAAATGCATGAAGATATCCCCCGTCTTTCAGGATAGTTGAACAAAGAAAACCCCCAAGTCTGTCCCCCTTGGATGTATCCTCCCACTGGTGTCTCACGAAGATCTCAGATGTAGGCCTCTCGTCCAGCTGTAGGTGTGATATAAAGAAGATTCATTAATGTCCACTGTTCATAATTTTTTATTTTCTTTTATAATTATGAAATACTTGTTGTGATATGTGTATTGTTTCATTATGTATATAAATAGTAACATTAAGTTTCTTGAACATTCCAGAGTGGTCAACATGTTCGGTCATTTGATCTAGAACATTCTTAAATTTTGTGTATGTCCAGATTGTTCCAGTAATATCATGTTTTAATAATTTCTAGAATATTCTAGATTTATGATACTGTATAAATACCCTGTCAATTCGATTCATATAGAATACTTTGTCGTATAAGCACTATTGAGATATAAATGGGATATATTTTCACTGGGACATTGTGTGCAGCAACGGACACTCTGATGTATGTATTTTTAGATTCTGCTAAGTTTGTACTTTATGTTTGATATATTTATTATATATTACTGTAAATAAATTATTGTTAAGTTTAAATTGTGTTATTGATCTTTGCTGGCATTTCGGGTAATTCTGACCCATAACATACTATAAAAGATAAATAATACAACGATATAAACATATATGCCAATTTAAACAATCAAAATCAAATGTATCCAGGGACGTTAATAGTATACAGGTCCCTGATGTACATGAATCTGAGTAAAAGAAATTCTAGCAGCAGGGATTAATTACACGTATCGCAGTAAGTGTCCTTTGAAATCTTAATGAACAATTTGGTCAAATATACAGTTAAAATATTTTTTCATAAATATGACTTCCAACTTGTGTCCCAAATTGCCCTTCACTGATAAACATATTATATATATATATATATATATATATATATATATATATATATATATATTGTTTCTGCATTGATGGCTTTCACTAAAAGTACGGAATTAATTAAGTGTATTAATTAGAAAAAAATATTTTTCTAGATATAAATATTTTAAAAAGTATTTGTTATCAAGGGATACTTTCTTTCTATTTGTTATTCAATGATATATTGGTATTAAACTGTAAAAGTTTGAGTTTTATTAACCACACAGTTTTGGGGTTATTGTACAAGTTTTTGGACATGCTCTTTTACTGTCTGTAACAAATTTTATAAATGTCTTATTTTAAAGCATATGACTTGGCCTTCGACCTGTCATGATTTTTTTTTTTCATTTATTAATGGTCATGGCTGCAATCTTGTAACATTTTTTTCTAGATTAAACAACAGCATTATAATTCACTAACAATATATCGAAATAAAATAAAATATATTCATAATGTTGCTAGTAGTCGAAAACGTACTTCACTTGAAGAAATTTTGCTAGAATGCCATTAGGGTCTAAGGAACAAAATGCATGAAGATATCCCCCGTCTTCCAGGATAGTTGAACAAAGAAAACCCCCAAGTCTGTCCCCCTCGGTTGTATCCTCCCACTGGTGCCTCACAAAGATCTCAGATGATGGTTTCTCATCCAGCTGTAGGTGTGATATAAAGAAGATTCAATAATGTCCACTCTTGGTATTTTTTTTTATTTTCCTACATCATTATGAATTACTACAAAAGATAAATAAAACAACGATAAAAATATATATTCTAGCTGCAGGGATTACACATGTATATATACATGTATCGGAGTAATTGTCCTGAAGTCTGAGATGAAAATGTTTTCCTAATATACTCCTCTGAGTATTAATCATTAATATTATCCTACTGCTACTGTCCCAAAAGAAAAAATGTGATTAATTAACAAAGCCCAATTCCAATACAGTGATGATTGTGAAAAAGTAACAATTTAAATCAGGGTTGCAAAAAAAAAAAAATGTAAACAGAAGAGAGAAACTCAGAACGTAAGTTATTTTAAAATTATCTTTCCATCTACGAACATCTTCTTAACTGTCTTTTACTGTGCAGTAAGTTTTTATAAATGTCTCTTTTTTTTAAAAAAAAATTTTAAAGCACACTTATCATTACTTCTTTTTTCCCGTGGATTTGTTTAAGCCAGGTAAGCCAAATATAACAGTTATGATTGCGAAATTCAACACATATGCAACTGTCATGATGATTCAAGTCCCACGGAGAAATTAACTTATTAAACTTGATAAAGGTTTATTTTGAATGTAAAATACTAACTACAAGTAGGCACATGAGTCCCAAGCAGTTGTTTGATAGTTTCTTGGAAATGTTTTAAAAAAATATTCTTTAAAGCAAGAATTTTGATAGGAATTGCATGTTGACTCTTTTGAAAGAGGAATTGTTATTAGAGAAATTTTAATAATGATCATGATGATATAGTCCGGTCCAGCACAACCTATATACATGTAGCTTTAAACGCTTATTAAAATAAAGCTATATATATGCAGTTTTCACCAAAAAAAAAATTGTAAGAAATAAACAAAACGTCGAAGTATTTGACAATTCATATATATTATATACTATGGGCTTTCAAAAATACAACCCAAATCATAGAAAGTTCTAATTTTGCAGCTGTTGAATACTTTTAAGCAAAAGATAAATTTCCATTGTTTGAGTAACAGTGCAAAATCTTGCGTGCGTTGATGCGTGGATAAGTATGATTGCTTAAATAGAAAAAAAAATCTGGGTGGTTACTCATCAATGGCTCCAAAACTTTTAAAACTTTGAGTATAAAGTCTCTAAAGGAGACACAATTTGTTGTGTGATTTTTGCATGCATTTTATTCAGAAGAGTTCAAAGTTTAATATTTCTACTGCACCAAGGTGCGAGTTTTTGCACAAGCTAAAAATTTTTTAAAAGATTTAAAAAGTGTAATAAAATAGATTAATCAAGTTATTAAGAATAGCTTAATTAAGATACAAAGCTAAATAAATCTATATAGCTTAATCAAGAGATTGTGCCAAACCATGTGCAGTGGGAAAGGTAATAATTAATCTTGGAATTTCTTTCTTTCACCTTAATGTCCAGCTAGGAGCTTGACACACTGACTATAGATGAAAGATTTAAGAGGCCTGCAATGGAATCTTGAGGATCAATGATAAATGATTTTGCACCATACGCATCATAATTTTTAAAATTCTTTAAAAAATACTTAATACATTTTCACTAATATTACTGTTTCTTTGCAGGTTGTTCCACAAATAAGATAAAGTAATGGAAGAAAATTAAACAACCATTAAAGAATTATGAACTTAATACAGTCATGCATATATATATTAACATGGTGGCATTATGAGTAAATCATTCCAAACAGAGCTGAAACCACCAGAGTGTTCTCAGTGTAAGAACAGGACAGAGTACTACTGTAGGACATGTAAACAAGATTTATGTGTACCCTGTAAGGAGGAACATGTGCTAGACTTGGACACCAAACACCATGATGTAGTGATTGATCGCTTAAAGTATGGAGACATTATTTTACGAAAGACTTGTGAGAGACACCCAAACATGGCCTGTGAAATGTGGTGCCTTTTGTGTAAGCTTCCTGTTTGTTCCAACTGTGTGTGTGTGAAGCAAATAAGTCATGAAACTCAGGATATAAAGTCGATTTATAAACATCAGTGTGAACAGCATCAGGAGAGAATTTTTCATGTAAAAAGTGAGATTATGCTGCATAATCATTGTATCCAGGCAGGCATACGTTCCGATTTTAGATCTTGTCAAACTGAAATCTCCAAACTCCAGGAAAATATGATTATCAAAGGTAAGAGACTTAAGGATTGGATAGATGAGATGGTAGAGGACATTAGGGAAATAAAACCTTACTTAAATTCGATACAGAATAACCAAAGGAGACACATTAAATCCATACAAACATGTGAACATAGGTCTGAGCAGTTAGCAAACAAAGCGATACAGTTTCTGTTATTTTCCAAGAAGAACAGCTTTTACAAAATAAATGACACTCTTAGTGCATCAATTATAAAAGTTCACGCTCTGAGCAAGAATATCAACAAAGATAATGTTTTTAATTGTCTGGGAAGAATCCAAACTACAGAAACCAGAAAAAGACAAGCAAGAAGTGAACAGTTGTTTAAAGTGATATCTCCACCAATGGTACAGAAAACTTTCAAAGTAAAGCCTACATGGCTTCTAGATAAGGTCAGCCTTCATATCTCTTGTGTGACACCAGGCATTGCCTGGGTGAGTAGTTGGAACAATTTAAACTTGACAGACACAGCGGGTAACAATGTACTTTTTCTAAAGGATAAATGTAACAACAATGGTGTGCACACCGTGACTAAAGAAGGCAGTCTTGTGTACATAGATAGGGAATATAACATCAACAAACTCTCATTAAGCAATGAAACTAAGTCTACACTGATGAGGGTAGTGGAACCTTGGAAGCCATATTGTATTTACTGCTCTCCCTCAAATGGAGATTTTCTTATTGGGATGATGAGACAGGATAAATATATAGCCAAGGTTGCTCGGTACAACAATGAAGGTAAAAAACTTCAACACAATCCAGGGCAAGCGCTGTATGTTAATCCGAGATATATCACAGAAAACCAAAATGGAGATGTGATAGTTTCTGACTTGATTAATAATGTCTTTGACTTAGGTGTTATAGTGGTGACAGACTCTTTAGGAACACATCGATTCTCTTACAAAGGAGATCCACAAGCATCAGAATTTAAACCACATGGAATTTGTACGGATGCTCTATCCCACATCCTTGTTTGTGATGCTTACACCAAGACCGTTCAAATGATTGACAAGGATGGTCAGTTCCTGGCAGTGCTGCTGACAGAAGAACAGGGATTAGAATATCCATACAGCCTGAGCTATGATTACAAATCTCATCTCCTGTGGGTCGGATCATTAAGGAGCACTACAATCTGTATATACAGACATATAGAGAGACATGGATTTCTTAAAAAGACAATTAGTGGAAGTTAAAACAAGGACAAGTACACCTCAGACAATATCATATCTTACAGCCTACCTCTCACAACTGTACACTAGATTACTGCATATAGACTAAAGAAAAACTCGAAATTTTCCCAGAGTTCAGTAACCTTTTGACATTAATATGAAACTGAGTTATCTAGTATATTTCTTGTTAGCCAGGCTCTGAGACGTTGTATAAAAATTTGGTATAAAGACACTGATATCCAATGTAGTTGGGCTTTATATGTTTTTTAGCTCACCTGAGCCGAAGGCTCAAGTGAGCTAAATGAAACACATTTTGTTTTGTCCGTCCGTCTGTCTGTCTGTCCGTCCGAATTCTGTCTGTCTGTCTGTCCGTCTGTAAACTTTTCACATTTTCACTTCTTCTCAAGAACCACTGGGCCAATTTTGACCAAACTTGGTAAAAGCATCCTTGGGTAAAGGGAAATTTAAATTGTTAAAAAAGGGACATATCCCCTCGCAAGGGGAAAAATTCCAATATTTTTACAAAAGACAAAAATAGGGTGGGGTCATTTCTTCTCAAGAACCACTGGGCCAGTAAAGCTAAAACTTATGTGGAAGCATCCTGGGGTAGTGTAGATTCTAAATTGTTCAAATCATGATCCCCGGGGAAAGGGCGTGGCCAGAATGGGGAATCAAAGTTTTATATGGAAATATATAGGAAAAATCTTTGAAAATCTTCTTCTCAAGAACCACTGTTACAGAAAAAAACTTATATGGAAGCATCCTGGTATAGTGTAGATTCTAAATTGTTCAAATCATGACCCCCGGGGGAAGGGTTGGCCACAATGGGGAACAAAGTTTTACATAGAAATATATAGGAAAAAATCTTTGATAATCTTCTTCTCAAGAACCACTGGGCCAGAAAAGCTGAAACTTATATGGAAGCATCCTGGTATAGTGTAGATTCTAAATTGTTCAAATCATGACCCCCGGGGGAAGGGCGGGACCACAATGGGTAATCAAAGTTTTACATAGAAATATATAGGAAAAAAACTTTGAAAATCTTCTTCTCAAGAACCACTGGGCCAGAAAAGCTGAAACTTATGTGGAAGCATCCTGGTATAATGTAGATTTTAAATTGTTCAAATAAATACCCCCGGGGGAAGGGTGGGGCCACAATGGGGATTCAAAGTTTTATATAGAAATATATAGGAAAAAATCTTTGAAAATCTTCTTCTCAAGAACCACTAGGCCAGAAAAGCTGAAACTTATATATAAGCATCCTGATATAATGTAGATTCTAAATTGTTCAAATCATGACCCCCGGGGGAAGGGCAGGGCCACAATGGGGAATCAAAGTTTTACATAGAAATACATAGTAAAAATCTTTGGAAATCTTCTTCTCAAGAACCACTGGGCCAGAAAAGCTGAAACTTATGTGGAAGCATCCTGGTATAGTTTAGATTCTAAATTGTTCAAATCATGACCCCCAGGGCAAGGGCGGGGCCACAATGGGGTATCAAAGTTTTACATAGAAATATATAGGAGAAATCTTTGAAAATCTTGTTTTCAAGAACCACTGGGCTAGAAAAGCTGAAACTTATGTGGAAGCATCCTGGTATAATGTAGATGTAGATTGCAAAATGTCTAAATTATGATCAGTGGGGTAGGGTGGGGATGCATTATGTATCTGGTAAAGGGTGAAATCTGGTAAAGAACAGAATGGTCAAAGCTTCTCAGGTGAGCGATGTGGCCCATGGGCCTCTTGTTCATGATTAAGTCTTCCCATATAAATTGACACAGCCAAATTTTGTTCACTTTTGCATATAATATGAATGAATTTAAACAAACAAGTCAACACAAACACTGACTTTTTATGCATCTAAAATTTAAAATGTTCAAAAAAGCCCTCATTGCCTATTGAAAAGTTTTGAAATTTCAGCTTTCTCAGTAACTGTTTTGTCAACTTAAAAAATTCCAAAATTATAATAAACAGGTAAACAATACTTTTTTTTTGAAATTTAAACTTGAATTGAACTTCTGAAAAGTATTGTTACATTCAAAATATTATCATATATTTGTTTCACTTTTTTGGTTCAAATATTCCAAAATGGTTGAGGTAAAGATAGAAAACAAAGCTAGCCTTTCAACAGATGTTCAACTCTGAATTTCTGCAGCGTTGGCCTATTCAACAGAACGAGCATTTCGTTTAGAGGGATAATAACGAATTGGCGAGTGGTTCCAAGAGTTGTTGAAAACGGCTCGGCTGTAAAATCCTATTAAAATGCTATAATCTATAAAACGCAAAGTTATCACCTTTAACAGGTCGGAGAGAATACTCGAAATCGGGTATTATCTGTGAAATCGCGTATAATACTCGATATTAGGGTATCGTTGAATCCGCGAAATCGGGTATAGGAGGTGTAAACACGTAATAAAACTTAAAGAATGGGATGGCGCATGTTGCCGAGTTAACTTTCATCTAGATACACATGTTTTCTAAAGATATCACTAGCCAAGTAAGAATTTGGATTTCAAGATTAATGCGCCCGGGACAACAAATACCCGTGGAGCTCAGTACATTTCATGATCTGCACGCAAAAAGGCGTTCGATTTGCTTTATATTTTACCTTATGTTGAAAGTATATGCATCTTCCTAATGTTCATTCCCAACACAACAGAATTGTAAAGTATCAGAATTCGGGAATTTATAATAATTCCACATCAACACGACAAATATGAACAATTTGTAAATAAATCAAATTATACGGAAACACATTTCACACACCAGGTATGATGCCATGTATAAAAAAGAGATTGTCTATTCTATCTAATTATGCGTAATTAATTACTTTCACATTCATCTTGTGCATAAAATCAAATTTATTTTTGAATGTATAAATAATGTAATGATAAAAATGTCTAAAATTTCGGCTAAAAGAACCCTCTTTCTCTTTTTTTGAAAATTTCCTTTTTATTTATCATTCAAACATATTTGTAGAATATGTCTTCAAAATTTTAGCAGAGACAGTGATAGTTTCAGGAATACAATTTATGAGAGAACATAACTGTTGATCGTTTAATTACGCTAAGTCATCAATATTTTACCATTTCCTGGCGACTTCAAAAGGTAGGGGGGGTTAAAGGCTTCTTGACCACCTCTGACAAAACAACCTCGACTGTGTTATACATGTGTCTAAAAGACCTCTCTTTGAATGTCACGGTCGGTTAAACTCGGTCATATATTTTTAATCGTAAGGAAGAGTGGGGGGGGGGGGGGGTTAGGTTCGAACTTTAGTACCTTAATTTTTCTCCAAACACCAAAACTTTACCCATTTTTAGCCTATACTGCGAGGTATCTGTGGAAGTTGGGGGGGGGTTACCTATGCAACAAGGTTCAATGTATATACTAAGTATAATATAAAAAAGTGGGTGGGGGGGGGGTAAGGCCCCCCCGGTTCCGACGCCAATGATAAAGAAAGGAAATGGCTACGATTTTTATGAAATTTTAATGTCCGATGAGGAATTATATTCCCAAAAAAGTAAGACAAGAGTTTCCAAGGCAATTGAATACTCCATTATTTCAGATTGTTCATTAACATGTTCATAAACTTAAAAACTATAAGAAATGTGAAAACTTGACTATGTAATTCATATATCAATATGACTGTACCTCGATCTATATTGAGAAATTCAATGTATTTTAACTTCATGAAAAGATGTACACATTTGACTTTTATTTATACCCCCCCCCCTTCTAAAAACACGCAAATCCTGTTCATATGATTTCTCGCTCTCAATTTTCACAAAATGCATAAAATAAAGGTAAAAAATAGTATATTTTTTATCGATTAAAATGCAACCAAAAAATTTACGGTGTCTTTGAATTAAACATTTCATGCTAAATTGACATAAAAAAGATACTCCGCTTCAATTAGCTATTTTCAAACTGTTTTCCCGTGCGTATTTATTTCATCTTATTTTTATTTTCTTCTTTATAATAACGTTGGTATTCTATAATGGCAGAGATATACAATTATGACTCGCTTATACTGTACTCTCTAACTGTTAGGAGTAATTTATATTTCACGAGAAAGGGACGCCATACATTTTTCAGTAAAAATACATAACACGGCGTTAGTCGTTTAATTTCTTTAAAATTTCACGTTTTGTGAATAGTGCACAAATTAGAAAATTTAGTATATGGGATACTTTAATGGGAAATAAAGACAAACGAAGTGTAGTTATTTGTTTTTAGAAATTATATTGAAAAATGATTACGCCAGTGTGTCCTCTTTGTTACCCCAGCAGTGTTTGTTGTGTGATTTTAAAGTTATTTGAGAACCTTATGAATTAGGTTTAATAAAAATAAATCCACAAGATGCTGATGTACAAGTAATAGTTACTGGCATAATGCGCCGTTGCTTTATTCTTTAGTTTTTATAGAAAGTTGCACGGAATACCCGATTTCGCGGATTCAACGATACCCTAATATCGAGTATTATACGCGATTTCACGGATAATACCCGATTTCGAGTATTCTCTCCGACCTGTTTAATCTTTTTCAGAGGACTCAAGAATAAAACGTTTTTAAATGTTTTTTTTAGATAGATACATTTTTTTGATAGCGGATCTTTACCTCTTTACTTATTTGAGAGTCAACTCGCCCGAGCGATTTTATCACACCCCCATCTACTTCGTTCTGCTTTAGGGCATCATGGCCGTTTGTGACGTCAGCTGATGGAATTGTTTTTACGACGTCGGTTGATGGACTGCTGTCTTCGAAACTAGTGCTTTTCTGTAATATATTATAAGAAATTCATTCTGTACAATGTTATTCAAATAAAATTCATGACACTGAAGAAAACTGGATGTTACGTACTATAGCAAGACTTTTAAAGGGATTTCACGCCCATCAGAACCATATTTTGTTATGTAAGGGAAATTTTAATCAAGAGTTAATAGATTTAATCACAATAATATCTAATATGCGTAGTATATAAGGAAACTTTGTTTTTAGTAGATTAGCACTAAGATTTCAAGACAGTTTCTTAAATAAATCAAAACCAGCACTTTTATTTTCTGTTAAAAAATGTAATCGAGAAATTTACTTAAATCAAATTATTTAGACAAACTTAAGAATAAATAATCTGCCACATATTTAAATAATTTAATTACTAGTATATCATGAATTGTTAAAGAATGGTTCCCTGT